AAAAAGCATGCATAGTACGAATTCATATGACGTACGAAAACATATGATCTGACCTTATATAAATAACTTGCACAATTCATAAAACACACACCACATATTAAAAAATAGCCATTGCCTTTAAGATACGTATATAAGATGACCCTGACGTTAAATTTTTATAAAATATATAAAATTCTGGACGAATAGACGAGGCCCCTCATGGGGTGTCCAAGTAATCACATAATCACAATATTTTTGCCAATATAATCACCGTATATATCATTAATTATTTTTTTAAACAAGATAATCAGTCCTAGATTATCAAATAATCAAATAAGGCCTTATGGTAACCTAGTATACTGCCCCGGGGGAGGGGTAACTTCCTATATTTTTAGTGGTACGAGTGTGCCGCAAAACAGGGTTGCTTTTTCATGCCCTGCTGGTTAGAACAGGGTCCCTTTTTCATGTCCTGCTGGTTAGAACAGGGTCGCTTTTTCATGACCTGCTGGTGAGAACAGGGTTTTTTTTTTAAACAAAGTATTTGTCTAGAACAGTTTCGCTTATTTAACTGTTTAAGATACAGTCTAGAACCCGGGTTTATAACAGCACCTATTTTATACGGTCTAGAACAGGGTATACATTTTCTGAGCGTGTCTAGAACAGGGTATGTTTTTCAATATTTCTGTTTAGAACAGGGTATGTTTGTTAATGTTTTCTGGTTAGAACAGGGTATGATTTGGCAAGTGCTGTCGGCACAGTTATACCCGAAAGGATAGTCAGTACCCCCCCCCCCCCCCCCCCCCCCCCCCCCGGGTATACTGTTACGTACGTCTACGTAATTTGATCTATAATGGATAGTTATGTCACTGGCAATCATCACACGTCTTCTTATTTTGATATACATATGTATGTGACATGGGAAGTAACTCGATCGTATCTATAATGATCGGAATTAATTTCTTTCATTGATCGGTAAAAATATATAAAACTCATTATAACAAATAAATTAAGGTATAGATTACAGTATCTGATAAAGGTGGCCACGTCTGATTTTCTAATTCAACTAATTATAAAATAGTACACGTAGAAAACAAAAGAGAATGACTACTGATTTAAATCTGTGACATATAGTCTACACAAGTCAGTGGCTTAATTGTGGATAAGTATGATATAGTTAAAGTCATTGTATTTCAGGACCTTCACAATTCGAGTGGATGATATCCTGATATCGAATTGTGGATGTCCTTAAATAATGTTGGACCTCCATCAAAACTTATGGGTACCCGGAAATTTAAATGTGGAGGTCCTGAAATATAAAATTTTGAAGCTCAATCAACATTAAGGATATCCTGAAACATTTAAGGACTCCCTGAAATAAAGCAATATTTTAACTGATTATTTGTAGAGGTCCTGAAATATTTCAGGGTATCCTGAAAACGAATTATGGAGGCCCAGTAAATATTTCAGGATATCCTGCAATCGAGTTAAAATAATCGTGGTCATCTATGACACAATAAAAAAAAACATAGTCAGAAGAAAGACGGACAGCATCAATCATAAATGTAATTGTAAAAGAAAGCTTCCACTTTGGACTTCCTTTAATTTACATTTATTTAACAACCTATGCAAACATTGCAATTATTAATTGCGAGCTCGAGTCTGGTGCTAATACCTCCTGTATATATATTCAGTACACGTTCATGTCTGTCTTATTTGTTTTTCTTAAATCGTTTTGTTATGAATTAGACCGTTGTTTTTCTCGTTTGAATTGTTTCAGATTTTTTCATGTTGGGGCCTTTTATAGCCGATTATACGGAATGGTTTTTTTTCTCATTGTTAAAGGCCGTTTTGACTCTGGTGGACAATTGTCTCATTGGCAATCATATCTTTTTATATCGTATATTATTGAATCGCACGGATATTTTTAGATGTTTTCAAACTTTTTATAGTAAATGCTGACATTTAATCAAAATCAAGAAATATGAAACCCGAAGGTTATGATATAAATATTTCTTTAATGTCTATGTTTGTTTATTAACATCCATTTATAGTTTATGATTTGGACCAGATAAGCGGTGTTTTGGTTTTTTTTTTTTGTAAATCCAGTTACTACAATCAAACAGTTCGATAACTACTAGCTTCGATAGTTAAATCTCTTATAAAGAAATTATGCAATACACTTCTAGGTAAATATTAATCTAAAATGAAATGATTTTTTTCTATTACAAAATTGGTTTCATTTGAGTTACAAGATCTTATATATTAAACATATATCATGAGAGCGTTTTACTTTACCTTTACAATTGTCCCATGTTTCCTCACAATAACAAGTAAGAAGTTAATACAACATCTGTTGCCATACATAATGATTGATCTCGTAAAAAATGAAAATATACAATCAAAAGTGATTAGTTTTAGCAGGTTTTTTTTTATGTTGTTTACCGTTCACGTATACTGTCTCATAAAGTTAAGTAAAAAATAAATTCTGTAATTTTCTAATAAAAATAAGATGTGGTTTGATTGTCAATGAGAGAACTTTCAAGACATAGAAGTCTATTCAGTCCATTCTTTTATTTTCTATCTTGAATAAAATTTTAATTAAGAAGCATTACTTGGCCTAGACTATAAACAGCCCTTGTAGTTCAAAGACACGGACCACATCATGGACAAAAGACTAAAAATGAACCGACAAACAGCAATCAATAATTGCCATGGGATTGTCAATTTGTTTTCGATTTATTAATTTGAATATCCCTTTGGTATCTTTCGCCTTTCTTCAATAAAACACTTCACAGAAAAATATCTTCTTTCTTTTATATTTCAAAGATTAACTAGATATAAGGGAATTAACTTACTATTAGGAGCCCCATGAGAGTAAGAAGTTCCCACTTCACTTATGGCACATGTTGTGTTTCTCATATTATAAAATTGAGAATGGAAATGGGGAATGTGTCAAAGAGACAACAACCCGACCATAGAGCAGACAACATGTATAGGTCAAGTGAAAGTCGCTTCGGTGATAACCAAGATAATTGGAACATATCCGTGGTCATCTGGACAAATATTTCAGAAAATTCAGGGGCAGGACTGTGGTAAATTTAAAGACAACTGGAACATATCCGTGGTCATCTAGAAAGATATTTAAAAAGTCAGGAGCGTGATTTCGGCTAATACGACTGGGACATATCCGTAGTCATATGTTACAGATATTCAATAAAAGTTAGTTGCGAGATTGTGGCTTTGACAACTGTACTATATATCCGTGGTCATCTGTGACAGATGTCCATAATGTCAAGGCGGTATTGTGGCTAAGATAACTGGAGCATACATGTTTCCGTGGTTATCTGTCACTAGTATCCCATAAAAGCTAATAGTCAATCAAATATATTAAACTATCTAAAAGAGGCGCCCCAGATTCTGCTTTGTTGGACAGTACCATTAAAGCATGGTACTTAGAGAGACTTTGGCCAAACATTCGTATTCAAAATTACAGGATAGGGGATATTTTATTATTTTTTTCAATGTTTTTGCCTTGCATCAATGTAGTCTGGGTGGTCATACAGAATACAGGATAATGGATAAAAACGAAGAGAAAAATGAGAAAGGTAGAGATAAAGTATAAAGAGAATAATGGAGTGATTTGTAAAATATAGGGAATAGAAAGTAATAGACAAAAAAAAAGAGGAAAACATTACTTATTAGGAATACATGCGTGAAAACATCTCCATCCCAGACCCTCATGCGTCCACATCATATCCTTTCTTTTCCTTTATGTCGTATCTCCCATACAGGGACCCGGTTAGCGGATATACATTTTTGTAAGGCGGTGGCTATTTTGCCGGCGCTGGCAAAATAGAAAATATGCTATTCTAATAAAAAATTGATGAATCCTGAATTTGTCTTTTGAATACTGTAAAATAGTTGTGCAGATACTGTAAAATTTTATGCTAATTAACATTATCGACATAAAAGGATTGAAATATTAATACAGACTACTGTATTTCAATTCAATATAAATAAACTACACAATACATGAAATACATGAAATACATGAAATACACACAATTTAAAAATGGTTTTACACTAGTAATTTGTTGGGCCCTTTATAGCTTGCTGTTCGGTGTGAGCCAAGGCCAAGGCTCCGTGTTGAAGACCGTACTTTGACCTATAATGGTTTACTTTTATAAATTTTGACTTGGATGGAGAGCTGTCTCATTGACACTCATACCACATCTTCTTATATCTATCTTAAACTAGTTTTGAAATATATATATATATATATATATAGCCTAGTTGCAACTTTTACACCTAAAAAGTCAATGTGATGTTTTAACTGTACTTATCTTCCATCTTTCTGATATTGCTTCAGCAGACTTGAAATAGATCTTCTTGTTTAACCTCTATACATTAATCGTAGCATATGCAAACATGGGAGAAGCATACACTGATGAAAACTGACATGAACAATATTGTTCATATCAGCATTTATTTTTCCTTCAGCACGTTGGCATGGTTGAGTTGCGCTATCAACTTTGTATTTCCAGCATCTCCCTCTTCTTGTACTACAGCAGTCCTGCGTGTTTACGGTCTGTGTAAACGCAAGCATATGGTTTAATTCACTGTTTGTTGGTATTTCAGTGTATTCAGCAGAGTCGTAAAATAGCTTGTTTTCTATTTTGCCGGCGCCAATAAAAATTGATGAATGCTAAATGTGTCTTTTAGATACTCAGGATAAAATGGTGTGCATTATCAACATAAAAGAATTGAAAATATTATTATTTCAGATTTACATAAATAACATGCACAATCCATAAAATACACACCACATATTAAAAAATAGCCATTGCCTTTAAGGTATTAAAGTATTAGATGACCTGAGACAAGGATTTGTATAGTAAGACTATACAAATCCTCGCCTGAGATCATCTAATACTGACGTCAAAAGGTATAAAATTCTGGACGAATAGATACTTTTATATTCGGATATTCATGTTTGAACCAATTTGACTTTGTGGTTTACAATCATGGCACGACAACATGAACAGCTGAATATCAGTCTTGATGAAAACAATATAGAAAAGAGTGCAACATCTATTTTAGATGTAATACGACCACAATGGAAAGCAGACAACATCAAATTTAAGGTTTGTAAGCAGTTGTCACCATTTATTTTGTCGCTTTTATGCAGCTAGTTTGCACTCATCTGAAGTTCGTTGACCTTTCTCTTTATCAGGTTTCGGGACACCGGCTCTCATATCATAGATATTTTTGGGGTTGAAAATGTGTGCCAGCCGACTAGTTTGCGTTCTTTATTGTGTATTTGATACTTAACACACAATTTAATTCTAATAACAGTCTTCTGGCACATGTTTCTAACACAAAAACATCTATGGTACAGCTGTAGGTTGTGACGACTCTCCATTGGGTTGATCTGATCATGTTCATGATGTTCTTGATATGGAACGTTGACACATCGGATGGACATTTGTACACCATACGTCCATCACAAAACGATCAGTCCAAATACCCCCTCCCTAACAATATCTGCGAATGATCTGACTTGGTCTGTTGAAGATCTATCTTGTTGAAAATGCATACCTGACAACTTTTGAAAATTCCCATAGGGTTTTTAGTGTGACAACAATTTCAAAGGTTACAATTTCTTGAGACGATTTTTGTGCACGATGTTTTGTATTCTGGATTAAGTATCATATATTTTTTTCAAATATGGTATACTGATGATGATGGAGCTTATATTTTTATTTGCATGATTCAGACTTCTTGTACTTATATTATTGTGTAGAAAAGATGAACATGTAACTAGAATACCAGGAAATATTAAAGTGACTGTTGACTTTTCCAATTTAAAAATATTGACAATAAACAGGATTTAGAAGAACATTTATCTGATTCCAATTATTGTGAAAAATAAAAGACAGTACACTGTACTTTAAATGATTTGATAATTTAATAACACAAATAACAACACTGTATGATCTGTTACAATAAGTGTTATGTCCATAAGCTAACTATTTATTATGTTTATGGTAGCGCTTTTTGCCAATCAGCCATGCATTTCTTCTTAAGCTACATGTATAAGAACCTGCTTGCAGATGAAAATTCATCTGCCATAATCATGATTTTTTTATAATTCTGACATACAGACTGAGGTATACAACTAAAAAGTACCAAACAATTCCAATTTTTGCTTGTTTGCAATTCCCAATAATCATGAGAAACAACAATTTCGATTGGCTCATCAAATTATCTTGATCATGAGAAACAAAGATTTTGATAGACTGACCACTACTTTCTCCCTTGGGAAAAGTTCAAAATCGGGAACAATCAGTGTTTTCGTGTAGAATTTCATAAAATCGTGTTTTAGACTTTTTTCACGATCATGATCGTTCAATCGTGACAAGGGGTCTAAATCGTGAGAGTTGGCAGGTATGACAATGTCCGGTGGTATTGAGTTCTAGTCCTTATTGGTATTCGGATAAAGCTGAATTTGAGTGAGTCTGGTTGGTTTGCAGTCTGAGGAAATGATGTTCATGCATGGATTTGGTGATTCTTCTAGGTTTTTTCAATTGCTCTGTTGGTCAGTCAGGGGTACTACTTGTACAATTAATCTTTATTTACTTGAAGAAGTAAAAAAAATATACTTATATAAGTTAATTATAATGTTTGAATAATCTCCCCTTAATTTTCTACAAAATTCACTTGTATAAGTAAATTTTTTATACAATCCCACAAAAATTCTCAAGTTTTGAAATGTAACAAATTCACCACAACTTCCACCATGCCCTACATGTGCGACTATCATACATCTTACAACATTCCCGACGCAATTGGAAGTAGTACCTCTTTCCGAGTGAAGCCTTTTGGAATGGTAAGGAATGTCCTGTGAGGTGTTGTCCATTTTGGAAAAGACACTGACAATTCATTATTAACTTTTACTTTCACTTTCATTTTTAACGTTGTCAAATCAATTATTGTGACGTTACGTCTTGTTAACCTTTGTAACCCCATATGCACCGCATTTTATGTACTTCAGTATTTGTTTTCTATGTTTAAATTGTCCTGAAGACACCACCGTAAGTGGAGAAACATGTAGACCATTATAAAGATTTTCCTTGCAGTATTAAACTACGATGTTGTTGTCTTTGTGTAGCATTATTTTCCTGAGGTTTTAAGACAACCGCAGCATACCTCCGGGTATCCATCCTGATTGCTCTCTACCAGCCTGTACCGTTACAAGGTGTTGGTTCACTTGATGCAACCTTAAAGAAACTGATTGGGCAAAGATCTTAAGTATTTGCCAAAGGCCTTCAAAAATTGCTCCTTGGGGGCTTGTAAATGAGCAGTGTTCTGAAGATAACAGACAAATGAGATTTTCATTGTCCATGAAATTACACTTAAATGATTAGTTAAGACATCTGCAAAGGACAGACAATTTAAAATTCAATTAGAGCAAAGAAGTCCTAAGAATTCAAGAAAAGAAGATAGGATGACTTTTTTCACTTATATAAGTAAAAAAATCTGAATGTCTAAGGGACATTAATAAGCCAATTTTTTTTTTTACCTATACAACATGTACAAGTAAATAAAATACACTTGTATAAGTATCCTACAAATTTACTTATATAAGTATATTAATATTACTTCTTCAAGTAAATAAAAATTACTTGTACAAGTAGTACCCCTGACTGTTGGTATATGAGCTTTATTGTTTAGTCCTATATGCAGAAGTACTAACCTTCTCTGTGTTCTTCTAGCAAACACAGTCATTGGCAAATAGTCTGGTATCTGATGTAATATTCATTAAGATATCGTTGATGTGTACAGGAAATAATATCGGACCCAAAACAGTGCCTTGCAGGACACTTGAGAGGACTGGTGTTGTTTTTGAATTGCAACCATTCATACTACACATTGTGTCCACTGTATTAAGAATGAGTCCATCCAATTTAATATGTTTGTTTTTACTATTATCAAGCCAGACAACTTCTTGCATGGCCTAAAATATGTAAAATATAGTTCCCATTTTGTAATTTTTTTATTTTTCAAGTGAGTACTCAAGTATTCCATGTATACTCAAGTTGTTCAGTAAAAATAATGAGTACTTGATTAGCAATTATTCACTGAGTTAATATCCCTACTAATTTTAGATAAAACAGGTGTGAATATTTTATTGAAAAATACATATGAAATATAATATAATCTAGAACTATCCATTATAAAATTGTCATTACAACTGTACTGGTATCAGTTATCTCAAAATAATGATAGGAGATTTAAACCCCTTGAATTTCAAAATTGTTAAGTGGTTTAACATACTTTTTACCCAATGTATTAGTTTAAAAAAATATTTAAAAATTCTTTTCAGTTAATTTAAGACATAACTGTTTTTTAATTATGCCCCCTGACTGATTATTCAACATTACTGTGTCAACATATTGTAGTTGTATCATGCTGGACTGACTGTAACACTATTTTATAATCCTGATAGATTCTCAGCTAATTAATCAAAATTCTATCTGCTGAATTACACATATTTAATTTTCATTATTGATCTAACTGTGGATTACCAGTATTTTTTTATAAAATTTTAGTAGAATATATGCCATCTATTATATTTATTGTCGATTTTTAAAAAGTTTTCCCTGTTTTTATAAAGCAGCTGCAGACTTTACAGAAAGAATTATTGTGTGATCAGGTACATTGTATAACATTTACCTCTTGAATCTCATTTTCATAAACACTTGCGATGACTTGATTATGAATAAAAGGAGATGTGAGATATGCTTCAGTGTTACAGCTTGTAAAGGCAAAAGACACTTGCAGATGTGGTCGTGGTAGTAGGTGCTACAATGTAAATGGCTATTGCATTTTGAGATGAAACAAGTTTAATTCTTCTTTTAATATTATTTTCTGCATCAGAAAAATGCACATTTTTAAGAAAGTTTTAACTCAAGTCAAAGTAAAGATTCCAACAAGTTTTGAAACATTTCAATTATGTGCAACTTTTGGTGTCCGTATGGGCTTGATGGAGAAAAAATATCAACTCGTGGTGTTCTTATATTGCGCAATACTTTTTTCCAAATTTCTACATTATTTATTTTTTAGTTACATATATAGGGTCAGGTGTAGCTACTGGCAATTTCTCTGCCTAAAACGTAGACGTATATTTTACATGCTTTACAAATGAAAATATCAACACAGTACAAACATTTTACTCCTTTAAACTTTTACACTTCTGTGGCTTCAAGCTATTTGTGAAATATAAAAAAAAAATGAAATAATTTGATTGACCTTGTAAATCACCTTTATAGAATAACTGTGTTCATGTAATTTCAGCATTTCACTGAAGGTATAACTAACAAATTGATTGGATGTTATGAAGCAGACAAGGGATTTGGAAGCGATGTGGTGCTAATAAGAATATATGGTGCTAATACAGATCTGATTATAGATAGAGATACAGAGAAAAATAATATTATATTTCTGTCAGAGCATGGGCTGTGTCCACCTCTTTATGCTGTGTTTAATAATGGTGTGGCTTATGGATTCTCTCCAGGAGAAACATTAGACCCAGAATCAGTTAGAAGATACAGGGTGTGAGTAGTCGGAGACTTTGTACATGTTGTATGTTTTAAAGCTTTCACAATTCCCACTATATCACTTTTTTTTTAATCATTTGAACTTCCAATATATGTCCAAAACATGCATGCAACATATATATATCTATTTTCCGAAATTATGAAAAACATATATGCAGTAAACAGGTATAATAATTATCAGTCAGGGGTACTACTTGTACAAGTAATTTTTACATCACGCTGACCGTGATGGCAATCGCCTAGATTTCCATTACGTAACTTTTTGGGTTTTTTTTGGGTTTGTAATCGATCTATAAACATGATAAATACGCGGATATTAACGAGTGCAAAATAACATTCCTTATCGTTTGTTATAAATACATCTCTTCAATGAATACTGATAACAATATTTTTGTTTAGAACATAAATTGATAATATGAAAATGTTTTGTAGTTAGATATATATATATAAGTAAAAAATCATCGATATGGTAAAGCATGCGGAAGAATATCTCAAGAACATTTTGCAACAATCCCGGCAAGGACTGGTAACTCTGCATGGAAGATTGTTTTTGCGGGAAAATATGAATGCCTACTCATATCCAATCTTTTAGAAAAATCAAATTTTTACAGAAGAGTGTCCACCTTGCACTGCACTCTTATTAGAATAGTAGAATAGAATGATATACAAATGGATGAAAATTATATATACATATAACTGTTATATTAATATAATATATAACAACAAACTAGTGTATACTGATTTGTATCACTACAATATAATAGTTATTACGGTGAGGTTGAATTTCCTGTCATTTATTCATCATCCACGCACAAAATTGTCTCAGAAAAAAAATACATCTCTGTACATTAACCTCAGTTTCAGGTATAGAGATGTGATTTTTTTCTGTGACAAGTGCTTTTGACAATCCACAAGAACTTGCGGTCATCCGATGTTCAGTACTTCAGTACTTTGATTATTTACTTGAAGAAGTAATATTAATATACTTATATAAGTAAATTTGTAGGATACTTATACAAGTGTATTTTATTTACTTGTATAGGTAAAAAAAATGGGCTTAGTTATGTCCCTTAGACATTCAGACTTTTTTACTTATATAAGTGAAAAAGTCATCCTATCTTCTTTTCTTAAATTCTTAGGACTTCTTTGCTCTAATAGAATTTTAAATTGTCTGTCCTTTGCAGATGTCTTAACTAATCATTTAAGTGTAATTTCATGGACAATGAAAATCTCATTTGTCTGTTATCTTCAGAACACTGCTCATTTACAAGCCCCAAGGAGCAATTTTTGAAGGCCTTGCGCAAATACTTAAAGATCTTTGCGCAATCAGTTTCTTTGTTGAATTAATGAGATGAAAAATTGAACTCTAATAAAAAATTATGAGCTAACCTGGCCACCGTTTCACAAAGCCTTCTTAACTTACGATCATCGTATCATTTTACGATCTGTTTATGTGTGGTTCTACGTTCCCGTTACGTGTGTTTCACAAAGGCATCGTAAAGGACTACTTAGTTGATCGCAAGTTACGCACTGTGTATCATCGTAAGTGTATCGTAAAACGGAACTCTAGCTGTAAACAGGAGGTGTGAATCGTAGTTTATTTACATCGGAATATGGCACACTCTTCTTTCACAGATCGATGAGTCGAGCATGCCGATGAGAGCGGACGTGAAAATGTTTGCAGAGAGAATCCTTCAACATCATTGAAATTGTTTTGCATAATTGGTTTCATGGATAAGTATTGTTATCCTTACATCTTATATTTTATGTTTTGGATTATATTTTTTTGTTGAGGAAAGTTTCTGCAGATATTTTCAGGTTTGTTTGAGACATGTGGTCAGATGGAATCCATTAGTAGTTTCCATGTGGGAAACTATCAGACCAATCTATTTGATGTCTGAGGGTTTTAGCTGTTGTTCCCCTAATGGATCGGTAGTTTCTTTCCGAGATGCTTTATTGTAGGATTTTCGGCTTTCCTATACCAGGAATACAGCTGGGCATTTGGCGGTATCGGTTTGGAATCCAAGTATGTCCTTTCCGGGTTCTCGTTCATTGCCTTGGCATTTGTGCGGTATCTGGGGTGACCTTATTATAATATCCTTTATTTTGTATATAATTGTTTTTATATTTTGAACTTTTATATTTGTGAGGACAAGCGAATCAGGTGAGTGGGTGTGTTAGTATGTTTTTCATTTGTAGTCGAAACACAAGCCTTGTATCTTTGATGGGTTACTTCCTTTGATATTCAATAATACTTTTTTTCTTTGGATCGGAAATTTGAAATAATAGGAGAGTGACGAGACGTGTTTATATCTGATCAAAGGATTAAACGAATTTTTTAACAATTATTTGATAATGTCTAAAGTTATTATAGTACTGCAATTTTAGAGGAGATATGATTGATTGATTGCTGTTTTCTGAACCTACAGTGGCAAATATTTCATGCAGATTTATGACCAAGAGAAGAATTTTCAAACAAGAAATAAGAAGTTGCATGCGTTGTCGTTGAAAAAGAATTAAAAGAAAGTCCAATAAAAATAAACAAAACCAGTGTATATAATGTGTGACTCCTGAAATTCCATTTTCACTGTATCCGTTATGAATTTCTAATGTAGAATGATAAATAAACAGACGACAAATTCATGATTTTTGAATAGAATAAGAAATAAGATATAATGTGTACTGTTTTTATAAATTCATGATATAGGTATGAGATGTGGACGGGTTTTCATCGCGCCTACAGCCATCCAGGTGTAAAATTGATACACAAATAGATAGATATTAAGAATAGTTTACGAACAGAGCGTGCAAGAGATTTAAAAGCAGCAGTTAAGTTTCATTTGCAGAAAAGTGTACCTTTTAACATAATTACTAATGTTGTATAACTTAAAACAGGTTTTGTTATTCAGCTTGTTGATATTGAATTAAATTCCACTATGCTGTTTTTGTTATGTGATTCATGTTTACTGTCAATTATGATACTAGACTTTCATTTTTACTGTAGGAGCGATTCATTTCTATTGTACATGCGATGCATTTTCACGGAAGGAAATTAATTGATTTTCATCATATAACGTCTTAATTCAGCCGACTCTCTAACAAAATTTATGAAGTCAGAAGGATTGATTATATGTGACCCACCACAACATTTCCAGGCTTATGGAGGTAGAACATCATTGTGAGAAAAACGTCGTTAACTATATGTGACTAGCCACTTCCAGGCTTATGAGGGTACATTGTCCAAACTTTGCTTTTTGTATATTTATCTAGAACATTCTGAAGCAAAAAAAACTCTGTCATGTTATTATGACCTATTTTTTGTAATAACAATGAAACGAGTCATTTCGAATACCGACATGATAATGAGACTGTTCGATGACGAATTTTTCATTATCGAAGACACTAATTTATAAAATACAAAATTATTGTATTCTATTGGCACTTAGTAATCTTCAACAGCATATTTGAATTAAAATTTCAAACGAATTAAATTTACAACATTACAAACAGTTCTTAGCTCTATTTTAGAAAATGTAATTTAAACTTGTTAAAATGAAGTTAGTATAAAATTTGTCAAAAAAAGCTTTTTTTTAATTTGTCTTATAACTTAGATTTATGATGCATGTCTCTATACATAGTATGCGATGCGTAGCAGTTTATAAGTAGTTGTTCTCATATATGCATTTGATACAGTGCATTTATTATGGATATATTTTAGACTCCATTTATGAAAATCTATAGATCAGAGAATTTTGATTTTTTGTATCAATTTAAAATGTAGATTCAAATATTTATATGTCGTTGATACAGACATAAAGATCTTATCATGTCAAAATCATGATACAACAGGAAATTTTCATATGCACGGTCTGAACACAAGAATTTACAGAATAAGCATATTTCTTACTGAATAGAGAAAAATGGCCTAAAGAATTACAGAATACAGAAATGTAAAACCCACCCACACCCCATTCAAAGTATTTAAAAGCTTCTCTCCCTGTGCATATGGTTTATTAAACTCATAAGGCAGAGCAATTTTTATGACTACTTGCATAATTGTTTGATCGTATTAAATTCTGTATCAAATTTATATTAATATTAAAAGTTTCAGATCTTTAATATTGAAAAAGAAAACAGGTTAAAATTATTTACTTGCATTAATATTGATATAAAAACATCCAGTTAGTTTTTTTGTGTTTTTTTGTAGATCTAAGAAAAAAAGCAAATCTGTTACACTAAAACAATTCAAATTAAAATAACTTGGAAGTCGTTAGTTTTGCTTTGTTACGGTGGGACAAATCAGCTTCATAAAATGGGCGCTTTACCGGAGAACCAGTGAGTAGTGCAAAGCTAACAAAACCTGCGTTTCAGGAGTAAGTGCATGGGACATATTTGTATCATGTTTTATATCTGGTTCTATTGCCAATGTTATTTCATTGATACTGTGTCTATCCAGTCTGTATCTGGATTTAATATCCATTTCATTTTCAAAATGTTCAAACGAAGAAAGTGTGGTTCTAATATTGAAGATTCTTCTTCGTCTTCTAACATTTGCGGCATCTTTATCGAGAATAAAGCCATCTTAGATATGGTTTAATTCATATTCGCGGAAAAACTACGATCGAGATACGACTGGGTATAGCTGTAGTAAGTTACCCCAGGATTTACATATTATTTACGCTCATTTTAACTTACGACGGCTTTGTGAAACGGCTGTATAACCTACAATTTATTTACGATGAACGTACGATGACACGTAGACTTACGAAGGCTTTGTGAAACGGTACCCGGGGAAAAACCATTAAAGGCATGTTTTTACATCTCAAAACTTGAGAATTTTTGTGGGATTGTAAAAAAAATTTACTTATACAAGTGAATTTTTGAGAAAATTAAGGGGAGATTATTCAAACATTATAATAAAGATTACTTGTACAAGTAGCTATATATATAGTAACCCTGACTGATTATAGGTTTCATAACAAGTGAGAATTGGATATCGCTTGATTTCAACTCAAGTTATTTAATTTCAATATAATAATGAAACGAGCCTATTACAAGTTTATTATTACTATTTGAATTAAATAACGAGAGTTAATAACAAGCGATATCAGATACTTACGAGTTGTTAAACATGTTAAACCTAATTATTTTATGGTTAACATTCTCTTTGTGTTAAACATGTTAAACCTAATTATCTTATGGTAAACATTCTCTTTGTGTTAAACATGTTAAACCTAATTATCTTATGGTTAACATTCTCTTTGTGTTAAACATGTTAAACCTAATTATCTTATGGTGACATTCTCTTTGTGTTAAACATGTTAAACCTAATTATCTTATGGTAAACATTCTCTTTGTGTTAAACATGTTAAACCTAATTATTTTATGGTGACATTCTCTTTGTGTTAAACATGTTAAACCTAATTATCTTATGGTAAACATTCTCTTTGTGTTAAACATGTTAAACCTAATTATCTTATGGTAAACATTCTCTTTGTGTTAAACATGTTAAACCTAATTATTTTATGGTGACATTCTCTTTGTGTTAAACATGTTAAACCTAATTATCTTATGGTGACATTCTCTTTGTGTTAAACATGTTAAACCTAATTATCTTATGGTAAACATTCTCTTTGTGTTAAACATGTTAAACCTAATTATCTTATGGTAAACATTCTCTTTGTGTTAAACATGTTAAACCTAATTATCTTATGGTAAACATTCTCTTTGTGTTAAACATGTTAAACCTAATTATCATATGGTGACATTCTCTTTGTGTTAAACATGTTAAACCTAATTATCTTATGGTAAACATTCTCTTTGTGTTAAACATGTTAAACCTAATTATCTTATGGTGACATTCTCTTTGTGTTAAACATGTTAAACCTAATTATCTTATGGTAAACATTCTCTTTGTGTTAAACATGTTAAACCTAATTATCTTATGGTAAACATTCTCTTTGTGTTAAACATGTTAAACCTAATTATCTTATGGTGACATTCTCTTTGTGTTAAACATGTTAAACCTAATTATCTTATGGTAAACATTCTCTTTGTGTTAAACATGTTAAACCTAATTATCTTATGGTAAACATTCTCTTTGTGTTAAACCTTTTGAACCTAATTATCTTATGGTAAACATTCTCTTTGTGTTAAACATGTTAAACCTAATTATCTTATGGTAAACATTCTCTTTGTGTTAAACATGTTAAACCTAATTATCTTATGGTAAACATTCTCTTTGTGTTAAACATGTTAAATACAAAAGTCAATGACCCTTTGATCTAGTCTTTTGCACATACCAGTAATACATAATATTTCCTGGTCCAGCATCAAACTTCAACATCAGACATTTTAAAACTTTTTGTACACTTCAGAATGTAATAAAATTTATCAATAAATAAATTCTCAGGTAAATAGTTGACCTTTGAAAATTATCCATGAACTAACGATTAATCAATTGAAATTTCACAATATAGTTTCATGATGCTGACTAAGCCAATCAAATTAAGGTATTTTTCGTATCACTTTTTCGTATCACACACTTTCCCGTGTGATATGAGAATTCTGTTCATGCAAGAAATAGATAACTGGCCTCAACCATGAGAATATAAAGATTATCAATAGTTCTTCAAATAAGAGGGAGTGTCTCTAGTACTTTCTCTAAAACTGATGAAGGTTACATGTATATTCTTTAAACATGTGTTGTGCAAATTCAAATTGCACCATCAATCAGGCTGTTTGTTTTCTCTTTTGAATTGTATTACTTTTGTCATTTCGAGGTTTTTTTATAGCTTACTATGTGGTATGGGTTTTGAACATTGTTGAAGGCTGTACTATGACCTATAGTTGTTAACTTCTACATCATTTGGTCTCTGGTGGAGAGTAGTGTCTCATTGGCAATTTTATTCTTATATAAAATAGAATTATATGTCTATGTCTTCTGTTAGTTTACTTTTTTTTTTACATATTTGTACTTCGGTCTTCATCCTGTTTTTATTTTACAGACAAATTGCAAAGGAGATGGTAAAATTACACTCTTTGAAACCAAAATCTGGGGCTAGGCCAGCTGCAGGTTTGTTTCCAAAACTTGAAAAGTGGTTATCGATTGCACCAACTGGGTATGACCAACCTGAAAAAAATGAAAGGTATTCTGTCAAATATGAATATTATATCACTTCTATACATACGTTATACAACCTTACATAAACTTATATGCTTCCATGACTTTGAAGAAGGTGTCAGTCTACCACCATTTAATTATCTCTCTTGTATTAAAAGTCGTCTTAAACCTGAGAAGCCTGAAAGCCAAAGATATATAATTTTTCATCATTAAAGCATCTTTGCTGAAGTGAAGAACATTATATGAGGAATCTTAAGTCAGAAGTCTTCAAGAGGTAAAGACCCTACCTATGGTACCCATGACAATTGGTTTGCTGAGCCAACTCCTTATTGCTTATCATTTATAGTCAGGATTGTTTTGAAAGAAGGATAACTGTAAAATAGGCAAATGCTGCAGAAAAAGTAGTAAATATTCATCTTTTACACTCCAAAGTCTTCTGGCTTCCTTATAACATGCCCCTCTTACATGTCATTAGAGATGCTTGCACGAGGATAAGTTTTTTTTAGAAAAACACTTTTTTTGTTATATTGATTTGTTATTGAAGACTTTACATCATGATGACCTCTAGATGTCTTTTGGGTTTTAGCAGAGTTGAAATAATTTAGAACTCATTTATAATATGTATAATATGAATAATGACTAAGAAATAAGGCCATTTTTCATGTCTGGACAAACAATTTTGAGTAATAAACACTATATTTAACAAATATGGTGTCAAGTTCACAGAAGCTATAGATAGAATAAAATTTTGGTAAAATTTTGGTGTCCAGATATCATCATTTGATCAAATTTTCAACTTTAGCTAGCTTGGTTTGATAATGCACCATGAGATAAGGAGTTCCTATAGTTTTTGGTCAATAAGTCATAGGTTAAGGTCACAACAGCCATTGATACACTGAAATTAGGGCAAATCTTTGGTCATACTCAAAAACCTGATTTGTCTACTACAAATTCATAAAGATTTCAACTTGACTCATTATCCCATGATGCTTTTGGAAATTTTATGTAGCTGGGTAGCTGTCTCATTGATAAATTGATAACTAGTCAAACACATCTACTTCTATTTATAGAGTTTAATGGATTTGCAGAAGGCTGTGACAGTACCCAGTAGCATTTTCATTGTTGACCGGTATTGATTTTTAATCCCAATAGATTTTTGGGGCTTTCCATAATAGAACCTATATATTGCCTTCTCTATGCAAATGATGGGGATACAGTTATTCTTGTTATAATGTGCATTAATTTGTTATTTTTTAATAGATTTATAAAAGAGGTTGGATCTATAGATAGGCTAAGGAAGGAATATGAAGAACTGAAGAAGACAATAGAATCTTTGAATGCTCCTGCTGTCATGAGCCACAATGATCTCTTGTTGAAGAATTTAGTTTATGATGAAGCTACAGGTATGAATGCAGATATATGAATTACTACTTAAAATTACATACAATGAGTTTTTTATTATGTAAATACAAATAATTATTTGTGTAGATAAAATAGTTGTTTGATCATGCTTTGGAGGGTCCTTTTATTTAGTAGATACTGTTAATTTTTAGCTGATCGTGAATGTAATAGATTAAAATAGCTGGTTAGATTTAGCACATTAGATTGACAGTGATACTGAATTCAACCTTTCATGGATTGAGAAAAAAATATATTATACATACAGTTCACAACTTTTCTAGTGTTATTAAAAGCTTGTCATATATGTGACAGACACTATTGTCTATTGTTTATGACTGTATATAGAAATAATGAGATGTGGTATGATTGCCACTACTATCCACCACAGACTAAAGAATGAGGATTTTAACATTTGTACACAACTGTATGAAGATTTTTGTGAAGTTGTGAAGCCTTCTCTTTGATTTATACCCCATATATCCTTTTATAAAAATTACGCAAGCTAAATCGTATTTCACATTGAATTTTAAAGTTTGAATAAATATGGGAAAAGTAAAATAACAAAAATACCGAACTCCAAGGAAAATTCAAATCGGAAAGTCCCTTATCAAATGGCAAAATCAACGAATGGGAAACAACTGTCATATTCCCGAATTGGTTCAGGCATATCCTTATGTTGAAAATGGTGGATTAAACCTGGTTTTATAGCTAGCTAAACCTCTCACTTGTATGACAGTCGCATAAAAGTCCGTTATATTGACAACAATGTGTGAGCAAAACAAACAGACATAGGTAAAAATGTTAAAAATTGGGGTACAGCAGTCAACTTTGTGCTATAATCTTAATCACTATAAAAACAACAACTATGCCAACAAAGAAAAACAATATGGCATATAGACAAAGTACACACGCAAAAATGAAAGTAGAGAAAAAAAAAAGACCATAGCACAATAACACAATGGTGGGATGTATAAATACCGAGCCACACCAAAAGGATATTACCAAAAAATGGACTAAACAGTAAAGGTTAATAATAAACAAAGACAAATAAAAAAACACTATAACATGTAATTAAGATGATAAACAATGTCAGTACCTAGAATCTATACTTTAAGACCATCATGTATTATTTGTGAAGTTGATATGGAATATTTATCAACAAGGTCTTGGTATCTTCCGATGAACTTTTTTAGTTCTTTGACATAACCCTGGTTCATCAACTTTCTGCTCAGACACTGGTGACATTTTATAAAGTCTGAGTAGCAGCTGCAAGCTCTTGAATACCGAATGAGTTGGGAAATGTATATCCCATATGCAGGTGAAGTTGGTATATTGCTGCTAAGGTGGGGGAAATTTGATAATTTCAAAATTAAATACATCTTTGATATGCCTCGAAACCCTGCCATTTACATGATTAACTCAAAATAACCGCAAGAAATATTTGTGATAATATAAGCCAAATTTGGTTATATAGATTCCTTAACTTCATCAAATGAGATACAATATTTCTTCTCCAGAGACAGTTGAGATCGTGTGGCTTGTGCAGCATTTTTAATATTTAAAACTTAACTATTGTGAGTGAAGAAATACAGTATCGCAGAAGAGGAGTAATCTGTTTTTAAAATGATTTTTAGACAAAAGAAGACAACCTTTATATTTCTTTTTTAATGATTTGCAAAAAGATTGTGTTCCTTTTAAATGACAACAACAGGCATAGTCACCTTTTTAGTAAAATTGAAGAAAAGCAAGAAGATTTAAAGTCATAAATTTGACCAATGAAGAACTGAGCTCATGCAAACTACACGTATATATGAAAAATAATCAACCGGTCAGAGAAAGTTTTGAGTGACTAAGAATCAGAAAAAAAAGGTTCTAAAATCAAATACAGACAAAACAATCATTTGTGTGAATAAGAGTTCTAGAGTTTTGTCCCTTTGAGCAGTATTTTATGTGTATGGAGATATCTGAAAACTGTAAATGGAAAAAGATATGGGATGGTAAAATACATTTACATATTTAAGGCTTATCTGTGTTGAGAGAAAATTATGGAATGTTCAACTTTTATTGATTTGATAGTGTCCACATTGCTTCAAGTAACTTCAATACTTAGGTTTAAAATGCAGAAATTTGGAAAGAATTGATTTTTTATCCTTAAACAAAACCTTTGAAAACAAAACTAAATAAGTATTTTATATGTATTTCTTCTTTTTCAGACAAAATTAGCCTTATAGATCATGAGTATGCAATGTTTAATTACCAGCCTTATGATATAGGAAACCATTTCTGTGAATATGCAGGTATTGTAACAGATAAAAGATATTTTTTAATGAAGCAAAGTTATGGTTAAGCAAATGTTAGCACAGACCAGATTCAGAATTTTCAAAAGGTCTGGGTACTTTTTGTTTTGCCTATATTGCAAAGAGGGATAGATCAAACATAGATTCTATTTTTGTACACAACATTTTTGTTCAATATGTGGTTAAAAAAAATTACTCGGAAAAGTTTTGGATTAAAAGAGGGAAGGTAATCATCTTTTCCTTTATTTGGAAAACAATAGATAGAATAAATAATATGACCATTTCCTGAACAAAATTATATTTCTACTCTATCATGACATAAGTAAATCCAAAATATTGAAATTATGACTTATTACAATGTAAGAGGTGTGTTTTTTATATTCATCGCTTATACCTCATGATATGTTAAGTTTCAAACTAAAGTACATTCAGCTACCCAGTGTCAGACATTTTATTTCATGATATAGCCCTTGAAATAAGTATTTATTCTGAAAATCGTAAGCTAAAGAATAATTTATTTATATTTAAGGTGTAGATGAAGTAGATTTCAGCAGGTATCCAGACAAAGAGTACCAGTTACAATGGTTACGTACATATTTAGAAGAATGGAATAAACAAAATGAGATAAACTCCCCTGTGACTGATGATGATGTGTATAAGCTTTACACACAAGTTAATAAGTGTGCTTTGGTAAGCTTTAATTCCTGACCAATCTAGAAATATAACAATTGAATATTAATGTAATGGATTACAGTGCAGTTGGACACTTAGAAAAAACACCATTATGTTATCCCCCTTCCAACAGGCCACAATTGTAGTTCTATCTCACCTATGTCATTTCGGAATTATGCTTCAGTATAAAATTTGAATAGCCAGCCTTTACGGTACCAGTGTCAGCTCAATTCATAGAGTATTCTTAATTGAAATCCCTCAAAAATTAGCACAGTATTAGTATGTGAAGTCAAGTTTTGATGCATTTCTCATCTTCAAATAAAACTTATAACTGTAGTAAACAGTGAAGGGGGAAAAAGGAGGAATAGGAATTTTGTGTATTATTTGAGCTAAAATCGAAAGTGTCTATTGTTACAGTATATGTCTTTACATGATTATATGCAATGGGAGAGACCTAGTGCAGCAATTCTTTCATTAGAAATATCCAGTGCAGCTCATTCTTACTAAATCCAATGTAAATAGTGTACATTTTAAGGCAGCAATTCCTTCATTAGAACTATCCAGTGCAGATCATTCTTACTAAATCCCATGTAAATAGTGTACATTTTAAGACTTTAGTATTATAATTATTCATGGAATTGTTTATACCAAAATATATGATAAAGAGAACAACTTTTCAAAGACTAATTAGTTTCCTTTCCTTGTTCTATTTTCGATTTCGTTAGGAGTGTAATTTTCTTGTTTTATTGTTTGTAAATTTGCTCATGCATAAACAATGATAAGAAGGCATCTTAGATTTCAATGAACTTAATATTTTAATTTTTAAAAATGGTTAAAACAAGCATATAGATATAGCTAATTGGTAAACTAGCTCTATCAAATTTAATGGAAAGTATAGAGATTTATTTGAAAGAAAGAAATTGATAGAAAGGGGTGTTTCACACCCAGCTTTACAGTAATACGATTCATAAAGCTAGCAAGCTTAGGAATTGTTCTTTAAATCTTTCTTTTAAGCTTGGAAAACTAATTGATAAAGGTTATAATTATTCTGTTGTTGTCCAATAATTGCCTCTTGCAATCATTGCATATTGTTTTTTTTTGGAATGAAGATCAATTTGTTTTTGCATTGACACTCTATACAGTAGGGTTTGTTCTATGCATTTGCCAACTATTACCTCTTCCTGTACTGTTCATGATACTGTAGTTTGAGGTCTACCCTAAAGTACTGCTGCTGATAAAAAGTGTATGACAGCATAATTTCATAATTAGCATGTAAATTCTATACACCAAGCTAAATGTTGTGAATAAATGTAACAGAGGCTATCAAAGATTTGCCATCAACAATTAATTCCCTTAAAGACAAAACACATATAGAAAAAGCAAAAGACATTCCTTAAATGCTAGAAGCACATGAACATGGATCTAAATCCTCCCACTTTAAATCTAGATCTTGAGCAGTGGAATATCTGAATGTACAATAGAAATTAGTACAGGAAAACCACTATAAAACTGATATACACTATAAAAAGAACCACTTGCAATCAGAACAATGATACACTTAATTTTATCACAGAATCTTAGCTTTTACTGAAATAAAGCTCAAAATTCTTAATCTGCTGATTTTAAATGATGCCTTCTTTTTAAAAAAAAAAAAAATGTGATATGATTGCCAATGAGACAACTCTCCACCAGAGACCGAATGAAGTAGAAGTTAGCAACTAAACGTCATCATACGTCCTTCATTAATGAGCAAAACCCTGCAATTCAGGTGGATGTACTTGATTTCAGATAGAAATATCATAATCAGGACAAGTAGACGTCATCTTGTGCAGTGCCCAAATAAAAAGATCCTTTTTTGATGTTATATTTCAGGCAGCACATTTTTTCTGGGGAGTTTGGGCTTTGATACAGTCAAAATATTCCACTATAGATTTTGACTATTTAGAGTAAGTAGATACATTAACTTGTCTATGGTCAATGACTAATTTTAAAAGCTTCTAAAAGATAGGTTTCATAGCTTACATAAACTTAAATGAAATTTTTGATTAGGCCATTAAAAATGATTTTCTCAAGCATTCTTGTAATTTGGATATCAATGGTTGTTTTTGTATTTATTTGTATTTAAATATTTTTTCTAAACATATCTTAAACCATTACTACAGGAGATCATGTCTCATACTTGCAACCTTTAAGACGCTCTTATTTATGTGAAGTTATCTCAGAACTATAAAAGTTATATCATTGTAAAAGACATTGATAAATGAAGAGGACAAATCTAGGTCAAGGTGGTATCAGTCAGATCTCAAGGAGACAGGGATTAAAATAAGTAGAGTTTGGAGAACCCTTTATGAGATATAAATAAAGAACACATTAGTTTTTCTCCCCCCAAAAAATCACAATAAAGCATGTAATGGATGATATAATTAATTATCTCAACATAATAAAAACATTACCTAAACAAAGGAAAACAAAATTTCTCACTCAAACACTAAGGTATGTGCACATAGTAAAATCAGACTCTAATGCCATGATAGTATATTTTGTTAGGTTTAATTCCTAGTGGTTAAATTAATTTTTAATGCCCCCGCCGTAGCGGTTGGGGCATTTAATAAGTTTTACCCTTGTCCGTCTGTACGTACGTACGTTCTACGTGCGTACATCCCAAAATTGGTTTCCATTCTCTAACTTGAGTTTGCCTCAACCAAATGTTATGAAACTTATACACAATGCTTATTACCACAAAACACAGATCAAGTTTGAATTTTGAAGACGTCACTTAAACCGTTCTAGAGTTATGCCTCTTTATAAATGGAAAAATTGCAAAATTTTTAGTTTCCCTTCTCTAACTTAAGTTTGCCTCAACCAAATGTTATGAAACTTATACACAATGCTAATTACCACAAAACACAGATCAAGTTTGAATTTTGGTGGCGTCACTTTAACCGTTCTAGAGTTATGCCCCTTTATATAAATGGAAAAAATTGCAAAATTTTTAGTTTCGGTTCTCTAACTTTAGTTTGCCTCAACCAAATGTTATGAAACTTATACAAAATGCTTATTACCACAAAACACAGATCAAGTTTAAATTTTGGTGGCGTCACTTTAACCGTTCTAGAGTTATGCCCCTTTATAAATGGAAAAATTGCAAAATTTTTATTTTCTTCTAAATATCAAGTAATTTTTAAAATTGGAGTTATCTTCCTTTGTCCATGATTATAGTTGAATCAACTACAATCAATGCTCTATACAATGCAATGTTTAATTTTGACTTCCACTGATAAAACACAGATCAAGTTGAATTTGGGTAGTGTCACTTTAACAATTATTGAGTTATGCCCCTTTATAAATCGAAAGATTGCAAAATCTTTAGTTTCCATTCTGTAACTTAAGTTTGCCCCAACCAAACATTATGAAACCTATACACAATATTCATTACCACAAAACTTAGATCAATTATAAATTTTTTGTTTCCGTTCACTAACTTTAGTTTGCCTCAACCAAATGTTATGAAACTTATACACAATGCTTTTTACTACATAATACAGATTAAGTATGAAATTTGGTGGCGACACTTTTACCATTCTTGAGTTATGTCCCTTTATAAACATAAAAATTGCTGAATTTTTCGTTTCCGTTCTCTAACTTAAGTTTGTCTTAACCAAATGTTCTAAAACTAATACACAAGCGTTCTAGAGTTATGTGTGTTTACAAATAGAAAAATTGCTGAATTTTTAATTTCTGTTCTCTACCTAAGTTAGCCTCAACCAAATGTTATGAGACTTACACACAATGCTAATTTCCACAAAACTCAGATCAAGTTCAAATTTGGGTAGCGTCACTTTTACCGTTCTTCAGTTATGTCCCTTTATAACTATATGATATGCAAGTGGCGGCATCATCTGTGTCCACATGTGGACACTATCCACATTTTTTATATGATTATTTACTGTACTATAGCTGGAGCCATGACTCCTTTTAAATACTATACATTCATACATTATTATGATGTTTTTATTAATGCGAAAATGCAGGTTGCAAAAATATTAACTCACATTCATAATCTCAATAGTGACTTTCTGCATGTGCATTTATAAGATCTCCCGTTATTGCCTGTATTAATCAGTGATTCACAATAATAAATGCTCACATTAATTTCTGAATTCACAGTATGTGATTTTATATTATACATTTCTTATTTTTGACTATTGACAGCAACCCATGAACACAAAAAAAAAAACAACAGGCATTGCTTGCATTCAGGTATATGGTCTTAGATATTATTGTAAGAACAGAAAGATATAGTGCATGTTTTCTTTCTATGATAATTTTGTATTTATTTTTTCAGCTACGCCATAATGAAATTGAATGAGTACTTTGCAAGGAAGGGAGAATTTTTAGCACTTTGAGATATTGAAGGATTTGATATTATTTTTATGGCAAGGGATTTAACTTATATTTTTAATATCAAATATTTTATTTTGATATACATTCTTTTAAAGGAGATTTTCACCTATGTTTGTTATACATGTTTACATAGTGACATTTTATGAATACAAAATGTATTTGTCTAAATTTAAAAAGCTAATTCTACTATTGTGACTATTCTCAGGTATTTTAAAATTCTACGATTACTACAGCACTCTGGTATTATCAGGGTATTCATTGTATTTAAATATCTTTGTTGCATTTACAAAAACTTTTCAAACTTTCATACAATTTCCAAAAACATGTTTTATTAAAATATTACACCATGTTTGACCACGGAAATCAAATGAAAAGGAATAACAACGATTAATTAGCATGTATTAATGACCTGCAGAGCTCTGTACTAAAGTCATATGATTTATGCAATTATTGTCTCAGCCGCAAGACCCCTTTGGTTACTATCCATGATACCGCTGTTGTAAAATGATCAGGAATTTCTTATCAATCACATGATTTTAACGTGTCTGGTTAATACAGCACACCTGTGGGAAATCCCTTGTTAATTGATAACAAGGTGGCGCTGTATCTTGTACAACTCCTACCTTTAGAAAGAAATAGAAAAGTGTAAAAAACTTGAAAATCGGACGAGAATTGCGTAAACTACAACAGTTTAACATTGAAAGTTGTATTTATTTTTGTAAATTTTTGGTTTTTAATCTTTTTAGCTCACCTGGCCCAAAGGGCCAAGTGAGCTTTTCTCATCACTTGGCGTCCGTCGTCCGTCGTCGTCATCGTCGTCCTCGTTAGCTTTTTACAAAAATCTTCTCCTCTGAAACCACTGGGCCAAATTATACCAAACTTGGCCAGAATCATCATTAGGGTATCTAGTTTAAAAAATGTGTCCGATGACCCCGCCAACCAACCAAGATGGCCGCCATGGCTAAAAATAGAACATAGGGGTAAAATGTAGATTTTGGCTTATATCTCTGAAACCAAAGCATTTAGAGTAAATCTGACATAGGGTAAAACTGATTATCAGGTCAAGATCTATCTGCCCTGAAATTTGCAGAAAAATTTGACAACCTGTTGTTGGGTTGCTGCCCCTGAATTGGTAATTTTAAGGAAATTTTGCAGTTTTGGTTATTATCTTGAATATTATTATAGATAGAGATAAACTGTAAACAGCAATAATGTTCAGCAAAGTAAGATCTACAAATAAGTTGTCATGACCAAAATTGTCAGTCAACCCCTTTAGGAGTTATTGCCCTTAATAGTCAATTTTTAACAATTTTTTGTAAATTTTTGTAATCTTTTACAAAAATCTTCTTCTCTGAAACTACTGAGACAAATTTAACCATACTTAACCATAATCATTATTAGGGTATCTAGTTTAAAAAATTTGTCCGATGACCCCGCCTTCCAACCATCATGGCCGACTTGGTTAAAAATAGAACATAGGGGTAAAATGCAGTTTTTGGTTTATATCTCTGAAACTAAAGCATTTAGAGCAAATCTGACAGGTGGCAAAAATGTTCATCAGATTTAGATTTATCTGCCCTGAAATTTTCAGACGAATCCGACAACCCGTTGTTGGGTTGCTGCCCCTGAGTTAGTAATTTTACAAAAATTTCGCAGTTTTTTGTTATTATCTTGGATATCATTTTAATATCTAATATCTAATACTATTAATTATGATTTTAACCTTATTTTACATGATTTCCAAAGCATCAGTAAATACAGGTGAGCGACACAGGCTCTTGAGAGCCTCTAGTTTTTTTACTGATCTAAAAGTATTTTCCGCATGAAAGAGGATCTCGAGTAAAACAGGTAATAACGATGAAGCGATCATGTTACACATGATGTTTAACACAATTATGTAGACATATTTAGACATAAAATATTTTTCTGTTGAAAAGTTTATCGAGCATTATAAAAATATTAACCTTCAAATATTTTAGATTAAAAGAATTATAATAGAAGTCATTGATTTGTTTATCGAAACTGGGCAAATTAAATGGGGATAATAAAGACGTAAAATTTATATCTATATTCAAAAAGTGCTTTTATAACAATTGAATATTAATTAACACGTTACAACTAAAAGATAAACAACCAAACAAAATGAGAATGATGCTATCTTTCTAACCACAAATTTATTTCAGTGGGTTATTTTAAATTTCATATGAATTAGTTTATGTACAAATTAAAGAATAGAAATGTTTGAAATTGTGCATTTTCAAATTGACTAGAAAAAACAGAAGACTTTGTTTATTTTTATTAAAAAAGAATGTCAAAACATTTTTGTACATTTTATATCTTCTTTACCCTTACCATGTGGAGGTGTAATATTATGGCCTCTACCCAAAATACCATTTTTTGGCTTCAATGGCTCTCCATACTTTTAGAAGTCAACTGTGTGACATTAATTTCGAAGTTGATGCATGTTCCCTCAACCTAAGGCTATTTATTGTCATGTTTCTCAGATTTAAGGTGCATTTTGAGCCCAAATACGAACATGGAAAATTGAAATCGGATAAAACAGGTTTTTCTGGAGGGGTGGGCTTCCTTTCGTTTTCTGACACATGCAGTTCAGAGGCCAAAAACTTCCAAAAATAGTGTATACCTGCGGGAATTTTAACTACTGATTTTAGTATTTAATATTGAAATTCACTTAGTGAACAACTACTTCCGGTTGCAGGTCCAGTTGAAGCCAAAAATGTACCAAGATCAGTTTCACTCCGACCTAAGCTTTGTTGTGGTTAATGTGATTACTGGGGTCCACTCAACATGCAGACTGCAGTGGGATACATCTATCAGCATCCCACGGTCTTCCAGGTCAAGAAATAGGACGAAAAATCGCCAAAATTGACGCGTTTTTGCACCTGATGACCAACTTTGGGGCAGATAACCGAACACCCACCCCACCTCCTCACCCCAACCACCCACCCCGTGATCCCTATCTTATCTTTAATGGAATCAATATTCAACAGCAGCAGGGGAGGATCTTAACATGATTTATGCAAGGGACATTATACTATCTTTAAACAATGAAATTGAAAATGATCCACCATATTTCCCCAATTTCATATGTAATAACTATTGGCTTAACAATAGACATATATACATGTATATATGTGTCTCTGGCTTAAATTTTCAAAATCGAAAAAAGACATAAATTAGAAAAATAAAATTAAAACAACATTGAACGAGTAACTAGATAACTTCAGAACATGCAAATTTTTACTTCGTCAGTAACTGGAGTAAACCAAGCCTTCTTCTATTCACAAGTGTAGAGCAGTGGAATATAATGAGTGAATTATTTTGGTTACTTCGTAAGAATATCTGACAACAACTGGTCTATTCGTATATTTCCTTGAACATGACAATGACTGGAAAGTGTCAGTGATTTGATTGATTACATGCTGAGAGTCAATTACCATTCCATATCTTGAACCAATTAACGAGTAATCGAAAGACAGGAGGTAACGCAGATGAAGCCTTTTAACTGGCGTTGTTGTTATTCCTGTCAATATAGTATTTCCATGGTTTGACCAAATGCCATATTTTAATACTCGTGTAAGATTTTTTTGTTTTGGGTTAAACATACTAGTTTATGAAATAGTATTTGTATTGTCAGTGTTACATGTCTGCTTTAGAATTTGCCCTTTGAAAAACATTGGTTATTGTTATAATAGTTCCGTTGCCGTTCTAAGTATATTTCCTGTAGGTTGGTTGTGTGTAGATACAAATAGCCTTTTAAATTTGGTAAGCATATTTTAATGTAATTTTCATAGTCCTTTTTTATATATAGTCAGATTATCATTTAGATAGTACAAGTTTTGGTGTTAAACTTTTTTTTATATCTTTTAGTATATGCATCCCACAATGAAGTCAGTATTTACAAAAAATATATAAGTGTAACCATACACATGTTTGCAATATAAATATATAGCCAGTACCTCTTTAATCTGCAATTGTTGCAGCAGAGTAATTTGCATGCTTTTAACTATTTGTAATCTTGTCCAGCCATATGGACCAATTTCAAAAAGACTTTGTAAGTTCCAAAACTGGTGTCTGATCATTTGATTATAAAAAAAAATAAAGACTTTTTAGAATGAGATTTATTTGGTTTTACTTTCATGACAAATTTTATTCATGGGATGAATAAAATTACAATTAATAAAAAAAAACATTTGTTTTGCAGCTCACATGAATATTTTTTAATGTTAAAACATTTTTTATGTAAAGCTTTTTTATCATGAACTTGCTCTCAAAGAAAAAGTCATTCCTTAATAATTCCATCAAAATCCATGGCTTGGCAGACCCTTAAAAAATTGCCTACCCATGCCTTGTAGGGTTGAGTAGGTAGGTAGGTTTTTTTTTTCAGCCTACAACATAAGTTACATGATTTAGACAAGAAAACAACGTTTGACATGTTAAAGTGGGAACAAATCTTTAAAAAAATAATCTGAAACAGTTTGTGTCATAACATTTTTTGGATAAGCTGCTTTTTAGGTGGGTAGGTAAGCAACATTTAACAATTTAAATTTTATTCTTGGCCTTGTCTTCCATAAACATTTTTTATTTATACGAAAGGATTGAAAACCATGCAACTTTTCCAACTGTCATGGGCTGGATAGTTTTACTCATCTTGCTTCAAAAGTCTCATTTTTGTAGCCTCAATATTTATGGGTTTATTTTCACCACCCAATTATGGTTATTATAACAATTAGATCAGAAGGACCTACATCATCATATGTGACATTAATGATTATGTAAAAAGCATTTGTGATATTAAATCCTTCATATGAATATACATTAAAATAATGAACTTATGAAAAGGAGTATCTTTTAAAACACTGTTGTTTTACTTGTTTAAACCAGTATATTGACCAATTGTGATAAGAGTGTTAGTTCTCCAAACTATTTTTATGTTGTGTTGTAACAGAATAACTTTTTTGCTTACTTCACTTATCGTTTTCACATGTTTTCCAATTTCTGTATTCATGGTTTTGTTGTATTTTATTATTTCTATGCAAAATGTTTTGAAATCCATGTATTATATCTACCATGTTTGTCTATTGACCTATGCAATAGTTCATGAATACAATAATTGCTTAATTAATGATATTTACAGATAATTTTAACAACTGGTATCTCGAACTATGGTTAAAAATGCAAAATACTAAACTGCAACTAACCTCCATAAAATTTACATATTTTCATGTTTCTGTTTTGTCATACTTTTTCTCTAGTTTAAAACTAAATCATGTTGAACTTAGTTTTTGTTGAGCCTGCGACATCTGTCTCAGAAAGCTAAAACAAAGGGATAGTGATCTGGCAGCAGCGTTAACTAACTACTTTAAAGCTTAATATTTTAGAAGGGGGAAGACCTGGATGCTTCATACTTTGTATATAGATGCCTTATGTTATGAAGATCCTGTCTGTCATATGTCCATTGTCCATGACCCATTTTCATGGTTCAGTGACTACTTGAAAAAAAGTTCAGATTTTTTGTAATGTTAATTTCTCTCTTATTATGAGCAATAGGATAACTTTATTTAGTATGTGCATACCTTGCAAGGTCCTCATGCCTGTCAGACAGTTTTCATCTGACCTCGACCTCATTTCATGGATCAGTGGTTAAAGTTAAGTTTTTAATGTTTTGTCTTTTTTTCTAATACTATATGCAATAGGTCAGCTATATTTGGTGGAATAGAAATATTTTATGATGTACATGTCAGTCTGGCAGGTTTTATTTGACCTTGACCTCATTTTCACTGTTCATTGCTCAGTGTTAAGGTTTTGTGTTTTGATCTGTTTTTCTTAAACTATAAGCAATAGGTCAACTATATTTGGTGAATGGAATGATTTTGTGTTGTATATGTCTGTCTGGCAGGTATCATCTGACCTGGACCTCATTTTCATGAATCATTGGTCAATGTTTAAGGTTTTTTACTTGTTAAGTGTGTTTCTTAGATACTTTAAGCAATACATCAACAATATTAAATGCTTAGATTGATTGTTAAGGTGTACATGTCTGTCTGGCATGGTTCATCTGCCCTTGACCTCATTTTTATGGTTCATTGGTCAATGTTAAGTTTTCCTGCAGGTTAAGTTTGTTTTTTTAAAAACTATAAGCAATAGGTCAAATATATTTGGTGTATGGAATGATTGTAAGGTGTACATTTATTTCCAGTTTGGTTTATCTGACTTTGACCTCATTTTCTTGGATCATGTTAAGTTTAAGTGATACTTGTAGTAAAGCTTTATATTGAGGACTATAATCATAAAATCAATGGTCAGTAAAGTAGGCGAGATATTTCAGCATGTGCACTCTTGTTAAAACTTTGGCAGAACATCTGTTCAATTTCAATTATTAATACATATATTATTAAGCAATTTTGTTATGTTTCTCATTTTATCCAGAAAAGTTTCACAAGTTTGTACAGTTCATTTTAGCTTCAGATATTGTTTTACTGTTTTACAAAGGTCACATGTTACCTAGACACATGCTCAAATACCAGTATTTACATTATTGTTAATATTTTATTTTGAATAACATGACAACTATATCATTGAATATAGATATATTGTTATATTAAGTGGTGATAACACCATGGGAAATCATAGCTGACACTCCTAAGTGATTTTTGTATTTGTAAATTAAAGCTACTAATAACTGTCATAAATGTAAGAGTTTATGTATGAATGAAATCCAAATTTTATAGCAGCAATATAAGGAGTTAGAAAAGGAGAAATGCAAGCAAAGAACTGCTACATAGATAATAAAAATCATATGTAAAAAAGATTAATACTTTAAACCAAATTATCCTATGTCTTGATAGTTTTCATATGTATGATTGAGCCTGTCATGCCTGAACTAATATACATCTTTTAAGGAAATTTGGTGTTATTGGCAATTCTTTGATTGTCTATTTAGTTTATTTTTTTACCATTGCCTACTCCATGCATTTAGACATGACATTTTGTATAACCACTTGTTCATTGGTGAACTTAAGTGCATTTTGATTTGTGTTAGGTTATTGTCTTATTGAAATATATATACCTCACATCTCCTTTTATTCATATTCATTATTGAAAAATGTATTAACAAAAATTCCGATCTCCAATGTGGAAGTCCAAAAAAACCTGACAAAACTAAATGCTGGACAATATCAACCAAAAGGAAACTGAAAAACAACTGTAATATTCCTGCCTTGTTTCCCAAAGAAAACGGTGTGTCAAATCCTAGTTTAATAGTTAGCTAAATATTCCACTTGTATGGTAGTTGTATTTAAAGTTCAGTTATAGAACTTAATATTAATGTCTTTAAAACTGTAATAATCTGCCAACCATCCTTCTATAAACAAGTAAGTGTCATGCATGGAAACCTATTCCCTAGAACTAATCGATGCACTCACTATGGTTATCGATAATGAATTGTATAAATTCTCATATTTTCATTCCAAAAGTTAATCTTCTAACTGTAACATCAACTATCCCTGAACAAAATAGATATATTATGCATGATTTCAAGAAATTTTGAAAATAAATATGAATATCTATGGAGAAAATTGGATTTATTGATTTAAAAAAATAATCATATACATGTATGTAATCCTGTGATCTTTTTGACTGCAAATCTCATTCATAACAATGAAAAAAAAAATCAAGTACGTCCAACATATTATTGTAAATAAATACTTGAAGTTCTTTTACTGTTTTGTTAATGATTATAACGTAGTTTAGAGAAATTAGGAACACATTAAGGAATGCACCTCAATCTTATTGTGGTCTAGCTACTCATATAAAGCATCAAGCATGTTAAATAAGAAGTCATAAACTGTTAAATGTGATTTGCTCAATTCTAAGGAAGGATTAAACTCCACAAAACTTCCAAGCCAAGGTTATAGAGGATATGGTTTAGGGCACAGCTGTTTTAATTTTAATTTTTGTTATTTTATCACTTATGAATAAATTATCAATATCAAAGTATTTGATTGTAGTTGAGTCTTATTTTATGCCATATCAGTGTGCGTGACTATAATGAATTTAATAAACGAATTTACTGACTTTGAAAACGAATTTTGTTTTGTCTTGAGGGATGCTAATGCTGACACAAACAGCGGTGGCGGCCTGAATCAGATTTGGATAGGGGCGGGGTGGCTTGAATCAGACGTGGATACTTAAAAATTCCAAAGATCTGTTTGAGGACATCCAATCTAAGCCTCTTTCGTCTTGCAATAGCATTACAGCATTTAACTGTTCTCACTTTACACAAGTATTTCCTATTCCAAACTAAAATACAAATTGAAAGAATTGGTCCTGCTTTGTTTCATAAAAAAAGAATTGCCAACTTAAATAGAAGTATCTTGTCTTAGGGAGGAATATATCGTACTTTGTAAAATTTACTCTGATGCAAACAAAAAATTCTCTGAAACTGACACTGTCTCTTTATTTATACCAGGCTGACATCATACAGGAGCTTCTTGGGAAGACTGAGGAGAAGCTAGCATTATCCTTTAACTTCACGTTTCGCTATAAACATAATGTTCGCTCATTAAAAAAATTTAAAGATTTGTCACTGTGTTGAACTCATCTATCCAATCGAACATACAACAGACAGAGTTAGGACTGCCTCATATCATGACTTGTATTTAGAAATTGACAATGAGGGTCGGTTGAGAACAAAACTTTACGACAAAAGAGATGGTTTCAACTTCCAAACTGTGAACTTTCCATTTCCAACATTACAGCATATGGAGTATATATGTTCCAGTTTATACATTATTCAAGAGCTTTCATTATGATTTCCTAGAAAGAGATACAAGAAAGCTATTAAAACCACGACTTTCAAGTTGTGAAGTTGAAATCGCCCCTTCGATAATTTTACGGATGCAATCATGACTTGGTTGACCGTTATGGCATATCTGTTTCCCAGATGACGACGGATATGTTCAAATTGCAGTAACCACGATCCCGTCCTCTTTTCTTCGACTGTGGCCTACCGAATTATGCTTATCACCGGGGTTGTACTTACATGATCAGCACGACGGGTGCCACTGGTGTTGCAGGATCTGCTTACCGTTTCACAGAAACCCCCGGCTGGTTTCGTGTTGCTGTGTCTTTAGTTTTCTGTGTTGTGTTTTGTTTACTTTTGTTTGTCTTTTGGTCGTTGTTTATTTCGTTGAATGTTCATAGGCGATATCAATGTCTTTTAGTTGGATTTTAATCTATTGATATCAAAATTAATATTAATCTATTGATATCAAAATCAATATAAATCTATTGAAATCAAAATCAATATTAATCTATTGATATCAAAATCAATATTTATATCGATAAACAATATTCATAGATATAATTACAGTACTAAATTGATAACCTTTTAGAACAAGTTTTTCAAAGGATCTATCACTTTAACCGGATCATATGTAAATTGACGGGCTCCATAAACATCACCGTAAAAATTAGAATGTGCTTTCCTGTTTCTAAAATGTTTTCAACAGGTTGAATCAAACTTCCAAACCAAATTTATGAATCAATGAAATAATTCAGTAAAGATTTCAAGTAAATTGTGGTAACGAAATCCTTGACTTAATAATTTACGAGTAATACATAGATTACCTTCATTGAAATCCAAAACTTCACTACAAACACGGGCATAGCGATCGAGTTGGGATATGTAAACACCATAAGATAAGGCCAAAGGAACATCACCGTTTGAAAGTTGAAGATGTCTATCAGGTTTTATCTGACGTTTGACCTAATCTTTATTGTCATTGATAAATGTTACATTTTATGGTTTTGTCTTTTTCTCTGATACTATAAGCAACAGGTCAACTACATGTGTGTATGGAATTATTGTAACTGTGCTTGTCTGTATGGCAGGGTTCTTACTAACATCTTCTCATTTTAGTTGTGTCGTTGTCATTGGTCAGATTTATGTTTTCGTTGTATGATCGTTTTTTCAGAAACTATAAGTTAAAGAGGGGCGAAGATACCAAAGGGACATTCAAACTCATAATTCGAAAATAAACTGACAACGCCATGACTAAAAAAGAAAAAGACAAACAGACAAACAACAGTACACAAAACAACATACAAAACCAAAGACACTAACCCACCAAAAACTGGGGGTGATCTCAGGTGCTCCGGAAGGGTAAGCAGATCCTGCTCCACCTATGGTAATCACATTCGGGGGAAAGGGGACGAGATTGTAGACGACAATTGGAACATATCCGTCGTCATCTGTGAAACAGATATTCCATAACGGTCAACCGACTCGTGATGGCGTCCGTAAAATTTACAAAGGGATGATTTCCACTTCACCACTTGGAACTCTTGGTTTGATAGCTTCCTTGTGAGCTGCAACCCTCTATCAAGGAAATCATGATAGGAAACACAAGCCCTGGAATATCGTATCAATTGGGAGATATATACTCCGTAAGCAGGCGCTGCTGGAATGTTGCTACATAGAAATGGATAGTTCACAATTGAGAAGCTGAAATTATTTCTTTTATAGTAAAGTTTTGTTTTCAACCGACCGTCATTGTCAATTTCTAGATGTAAGTCAAGATATGAGGCAGACTTGACTTGACTGTATCTGTTGTATCCTTTATCTCAAGTTCGATCGGATAGATGCGTTCAACATAGTCACCGAATTTTGAATCATTTTGTGAGAGAACATCATCTTTACAGCGGAAAGTGAAGTTAATGGTTACTGCTAACTTCTTTTCTTTCTTCCTTAGAAGTTCCTGTATGAAGTCACCATATTATGAATAAAGGCACAAGCCGGCAAGAAGAGTGGCACTGTTGGTTCTCATGGGAATGCCGATTGTTTGTCATTTTCAGCAATATGTAAAATATGTATTTGGTGTATAGAACGATTGTACGGTGTACATTTCCGTCTGGCAGGGTTCATTTGATCGAGACCTCATTTTTACGATTCATTTGTTAATGTTAAGTTTTACCAGTTAAGTCTGTTTTTTGGATATTAAAAATTAATAGTTCTATATTTGGTCCATTTTTCAGACCATTCAGGCAGCAGGTCAACTGTATTTGGTGTTTTGAATGATTGTATGGTGTACGTGTTTGTCTGATAGGGTTAATCTGACCTAGACCACATGTTTATGGTTCATTCGTCAGTGTTAAAAGTTTTTTTCGTGAAACCCATTTCTCAGATCCTATACCTATTGTGTCTGTTTGTTTTGTTCACGCATCATTATCAATATTATTAAATTTGATGCGACTGTCGTACAAGTGAGAGGTTTAGCGCTATAAAACCAGGTTCAATCCATCATTTCCTATATTTGGAAATGCCTGTACCAAGTCAGGAATATGACAGTTGTTGTCCATTCGTTTGATGTGTTTTGTCATTTGATTTTGCCATGTGATTAGGGACTTTCCGATTGAATTTTCCTCGGAGCTCAGTATTTTTGTGATTTTACTTTTTATAGCAATATGTCAACTATATTTGACGCATTAATGATTGTTTGGCCTACATGTGTGTCTGACAGGATTATCTTACATTTTCAGCTTTATCATGGTTCATTGGTAAACGTTATTTTTTTAGGATTAAGTTTGTTTCTTTCAAAGCTATAAGCAATAATCTTGTTTCATATAAGAACAAAAACTCTTCAAAGATCTAAAACTGATAATTTGGTTCGCCAGACGCGCGTTTCGTCTACATGACCCAGCCTTTGTGTACGTATCAAAAAGCTGAAAGGCTAAATTGAAAATGAAGTTGGAAAGCATTAAAAATTGAAAATCCTGAAAAATTGTGCCAAATACAGCTTAGGCAATAGATTTCCAGTGTTGAACAGCCTTACTGTTTTGAATCTTTGAACTTTTTATAAATAATAAATAATAGAAAATTAACAGTGGCGAACATATCAATGATATTTCATGCCAACTCTAAAGTGCTGACTACTGTACTAGAGATACTCTCGGGAACAATTTTTGTCAAACATCAACCAGCAGTGACATTGACCCAGTGATTATAAAAACTCATCAAAGATCCCATGCTAATTATTTGGTTCGCCAGACACACGTTTCGTTTACATAAGAATTATCAGTGGTGTTCTAATCAACAAATGTGAAGGACAAATCGAAGATGAAGCTTAAGACCATCAAAAACCAAAAATTCAGAAAAAAGTGTGCCAAATACGAACAAGGCAAATCTATTTCTTGGGGTACATAAACCTTACTTTTTCGAATATTTCAACATTTTCTAAAGAGAAAATTGACAGAAAAGGAACATATCAATGATATTTCATGTAAACACAAAATGGTTAAATACCAGGATGGGGATACCCTCGGGTACGAAACCACCAGCAGTTGCATCGACCAAATAGTTGTAAAAATTGAGATCACAGGCTTATAATTGTGCACGCCAGACGCGCGGTTTGTCTTCATCACTCATTAATGATTGTATTGTCTATATATCTGTATGGAAGGGTTTTCTAATTTTTAGCTCATTATCGTGATTCTTTAATCAACGTTATTTTTTTACGATTAGGTCTGTTTCTCGGATACTATAAGCAAAATTTCAACTTTATTTGATATTAAAATGATAATATGGCGAACCTGTCTGTTTGGCTGGGTTATCTCACCTTCACCTCATTTTAGTAGTTCATTGGGCAGTGTTACGTTTTCAAGGTAAGGTCTGTTTCTCAGATACTTTAAGCAATAGGTTAACTATAATAATCGTTATATCTACATGTCCGTCTTGTTGGGTTCATCTACCCTTGATATCATTTACATGGATCATTGACAATGTTGAGTTTATGTGACGTTCGTAGTGAAACCTTTACTTAATGTTCCAAAATCAATTTAATCATGATAAGTAAAGTAGGTGGGAATTTTCAGTTTGTACCATGAGACTACAGGATGTAGAAAAAAGATAGGCTTATAGATAGTCGCACAGTGCAAACATTTCCCATTAAATTACTTTCATCCTATTCGATTACCACTGAACTTACTGCACATAAAAC